ACTCAAATTCCTACCATGTCCAACTCTCACTCACTCCCAAATCCATAAGTTCTTCAACTTGATAAATATATTTACCTCTGTGTGTGTGTGTGTGTGTGTGTGTGTGTGTGTGTGTGTGTGTGTGTGTGATATACTGAGCCAGATTATGGTTATGTATATGCACATGTGTTTAGAGCACTAAACTTGGAATTGAATATCCTATAAGGGAGTTTGTCCTTGAAGAAAAAATGATTCTCCCTCCCTCAGCAGTCATTAATTACAAGCAGTTCCTCATTGAGGGATGAGGAACTGACAGGTTTCCTCCTATACTAGAGAGGTCTAGTTTAGGCATCAATATTGAGAAGATTTCATGGGTGAAGCATCTCTTTCTTGCACAGAAGATACCATCTCACAGTGGCATCTGGGTCCTCTAGACCTTACAATCTTTTTGTCTTCTCCTCAGGTCTTTCCCTGAACCTTCTATATAGGATTTACATTGAAGATGTATCAAGTGTAGTTGGCCATCCCAGGGTCACTTGTTCTCTACATGTTTACCTGATATGGATCTCTGTAATAGTCTCCATCTGTAATTAAAAATACAAGCTTCATTAATAAGAGAGTTAGAGCTTTCACCTGAGGGTATAAAGATATGTTTTTAAAACACAATCAGAAAACATATTTGTGTCTTGAAGGAAGGACACCATTGTAAGTCACAGTGTTTGTAGCTGGGTTGGTGTTTACCTTTCTGTTTGGATATTGTGCAGGCAGAGTACGTTGTGTTGGAGTAACAAAAAATATCTGTTTGTACTTTAGGACTACTCCATGAGCATGTGCCCATTCTTAACACTGCTAAGGTAGCTGAGAAGCTGATACTAGATAGCCCTGGGAATGTGGAGAAAACCCAAACTACTCTTCTGCTAAAGAAGGCATAGGGTGGAAAGATTCTGAAAAGGCTGGGCAGTCTGGCATCAATGGAAAGAAAGAACTTTGAGGAGTAGGAGGCCTATGGGGTAAGTAAGAACAATGTCTAAACAGCACTTCAGACAAAGAAGACCATGGTGAAGACTACCTAAGACCTGGGAAAGAGCAATGATAACATGATGGCATGAGGAGGGAGTAGCCTGTGAGAGAGGAAGGAGGAGGATTCCCTGGTGTTCCAGGGCAGACAACTATCTCTAGGTCCAGGTGAATATTTTCTGTGGAAAACAGTACACATGGCTGGTAGTGAGAGAAAGGCAAGTCCTTGAATATCTGGAGAACAGAAGGATATGGCATGGAGGAAATAGGGTTACTGGGTGTCTCAGGAAGGTGAAGGAAGAGCTGACAGTACCTTTGCGATGGGGAAGAGCAGGTCTACATGGTGGATGGGGAAGATCAGCCCGAATGGAGCTAAATGGTAAATAGAGATCTTCAAACTGTGCTTTTATCATTATTAAAAACTAATCTCGCCGGGCGGTGGTGGCACACGCCTTTAATCCCAGCACTTGGGAGGCAGAGGCAGGCGAATCTCTGTGAGTTCAAGGCCAGCCTGGTCTACAAAGTGAGTTCCAGGAAAGGCACAAAGCTACACAGAGAAACCCTGTCTCG